TTTTAACTTTTGAGGGTGTTTCTATAATTTTTAGGACATTGAGGGTGTTAATTAAAAATTTTAAATTCTTGAGAGGCTGCTATTAATTTATTGATTTCATATTTATTGTTTTAAGTTTTAAAATGTCAAAAAAAATTATGTGTATTATGATAATCCCTTGAATTGATCTATGTTTGCAAGTTTTGAAATTTTAGAATTTCAGGTGCTTGTTTGTAATTTAAACTTTTAAGGGTGTTTTTATAATTTTAGAGATATTAAGATGTTAAACGTAAATTTTAAATTCTTCGCAAACTGCTGTTAATTTCTTAATTTCATGTTTGTTGTTTTAAGTTTTAGACATCAGTATAGTTTTTATAATTTTGAACTTTTCAGAGTATTTTGTGCAATTTTAAAAAATTTTAGGTTTTTTTACAATACTTTATGTATTATATTATGTTATCTATGTATAATTTCTTTATCTTAATAAACTAATAACATGAAGATGTTTTATATATTTTATTAATATTATTTTTTTAAATTGTTTAGCTATAAATAGTTCATATAGGATTAGGATATGATATAATTATGATTAGAATAGATTAAGATATAAATGAAATATTTAAAATAGTGAAGGTTAATATTGACCATAGAAATATTTTCCCGAACTCGTACTTTTAAAGCGAGTATGATTACGTCTGAGTCATTGTTTCTCGATCATTATCGATTATTGTTAGATATTTTGTATCAAAATCAAATAAAATTATTATATAAATCATTTAAAATAATAAACATAGAGAAAGAAGTTGTTGGCATGTAGGGGCACTGCCCTAGAACAATAGTTCCCGCCTTCGTAGAGATGTATCAACGCAACCATGAACTAGTGGTAAAAGCCCTTCGAGTCAGCCGACACTTGAGATTACTGCAGATCTCAAGCCTCTTGCTCAATAGATTCATTGCCCAAAACCATAAAATGAAATATAGGGAAAAATATGCAAGAGAGAAGAAGTATATAGTATTTTTTTCATTTCTCTTTAGATTTCATTTTCCTTTAGAGATGATTAATACAAACATTACAAATTTGGTCATAAACATATAATAAATATTATGCAATAAACACAATTTATCATATGACATTAAGAAACAAAACTATAGGATTTAATGAATGAACAAATTTCTCCATAATAACAAATAACTATGACAAAATTAATGTGGATAAATAAAAGTAATAATGAAGAGTAAATAAATAATATTAATTAAAACCAATAAAATAGAAATTCAAGCTTTTCTCTAAATATTTTTTTCCCAACAATCCCCCCCAAAAGTTGAGTTTAGAGGAATAAAAGAAAATCAAGTAAATAAAACAATAAGGAAAGGGTAAGTCATGCAATTTGATATTGAGAATTTGGCAAAGGTAGCTTTTAGCTTTGAACCTTTGCTTAGTGATAATTGTCGAAATCTAAGGGACATAATGGATGAACCTTGAATTAGGCCCTTTTATCAGATATTAACAAAAGCACATACATTATGTATCCATATAATAAGCGAGCGGGCTAAAGGGTTAATGGCCATGCTCACATAACCGTCTCATGAGAGTTACTAGGGATTAGCCACATGTCTCCTAACCACAATCTTCATGGTTCCTCTCATGTAGGTAACTTCTCCAAGGATAATGTGACTGGTATATATCCCCACATGGGTCAGAAGTATTAAGAGTAAAACTAATCCTGCCCAGTTACATCAATAAAGCATTGTCACCATAAGAATGAGGGAGTAGCTAATATGGTGCAAGTCATAGATGCATCCAACGCAACAATGAAGTAAATTCTAAAAGTTAGTGCTCCAAATGAGAATCACTAGTCCCTTGTTAAACCTTTATCATGAGCATAGCTTGTCAATCAAAAGGGTGGGCTCCCGTTGTTAGTGACCTCCATGATGGGCTTAACCTCATTCCTCTCGATGATTTTAGGACAATAATCCTGGATAGTCCCTTCTATCAAATTGATTTTTGAAAATATGGGGTCATTTATGGTTTTGCAACCATTTTTATATTCATGTTTTTCTTTCAAAGATTTTACGATGCAAGAGTAAACGACCATCTAGATAACACTCTACATGTAGGTGACATGACATATATTTGCAAGAGACACTCGAGGATCCAATTAGTACACATGTTCGTGCAAAAACTAAAATTTAAAGTTAATAATTCAGTGCTAGTGACTTGCCCTGACTAGATCAATTATACTACATGCAAAAAGCCTAACTTTCTTAAGAGTAAAACAATAGTATAGAAATTCTAAGTTTTCTTTCACTTAAAAGCCTAAAAATCATCTTCATATAACATTAATTCATCAATTTCATTCCAATTTTAAAAATGGAATCTTACCTTTTCCTTCACAATAACCCCAACCTTAGCAGCTACATCCTACACGAGATCGTAGGTGGATGAACCGATCACTCCTCAGAGGTCTACTAAATAGCCCACAATGGAATCTTTGCATTTTCAATTACAAGATTAATGACGATCTTTGTCCTCTCCAAAAACAGAGAAAGAAGTGGGAAAGGGCAAAAGGAAGGGGAGAGAGAGAGAGAGAGAGAGAGAGAGAGAGAGAGAGAGAGAGAGAGAGAGAGAGAGGAGAGAGAAGCTAAGAGAGAGAAAGAGAGAGAGAGAGAGAGAGAGAGAGAGAGAGAGGAGAAAGTGAAGTTTTCTGGCGGTTTTTTGGTAGTTAATACACTGTTTTTAATAGAAAAATGTCTTTGGGACCCAAAACATGGGACCCTACATGGGACAAGTGAGGTGTCGACTCCCTGTCCCATGATGCACTGTTCATGAGCAGTGTATCATGAGACAGGGAGCCGACACCTCACATGTCCCTTGTAGGGTCCTATTTTTTTGGGTCCCTGTAGCACCAACCTTTTTAATATGGCCACACTGGCTTTAATTAGGCCACATTAGCATCACGTGATATCTTACATGACACATCAATGATAATAAGTTGCCGGCGATGAATATTTGGGTGTTTTTGTCACTTCTGGCCACTTTAAATACTAATCTGGTCATTATGGTTCACTTTAAATACCAATATGGTAATTTAGCCTTTTGAAACTACCAAGGCGTTTTTTTTGCAAATTTTTAAAATTTTATGATGCTGTTTTTAAGTTTTAGATTTACTGCTTGTAGGTTTTGATATTTCTAGGGTATGTTTTCATAAATTTGACTTTTTGAGTGTGTATTTTATAGTTTTTGAAACTTTTAGGTGTTCTTTGCAAAATTTAAAATTTTCATTATGTTATTTGTAATTTATAGATTTTTGTTCTGTTTTATAAGTTTTGATATTTTCATGGTTTTTAGTAAATTTTGAACTTTTTAGGATACTTTTTAATTTTCTAACCCCTAAGAGTGTTTTCTGTAAATTACAAATTTTTCATAGTGTTGTATGTAATTTATGGATTTTATAGTGTTTATAAGTATTGATATTTTTATGGGTGTGTTTTTAAGAATTTTGAATATTTAGGGTTGAATGATATATGGGTTAAAGTTAAACGGGTTAGCGGGTTGATCCATTTATGACCTTATTAATAAATGAGTTCTTTGGATTGACTAGTTTATGACCCGATCCATATAAAGTGACCCTTATCCACCTATAATGGGATGAGTTGGGTTAGGTCAGGGGGTCGGCTCATAAATTGCCAACCCTAGTCTCATCTTCCCTCTACTCATTAGTTTGGGTATGGTTGATAATTGTCGAGAACACAAGAAGAGAAGATAGTGGGTTTAGTTACCTTGATCATTACCATTCATTCCAATTTCAAGAGATAAGATTAGACACGACATAGGATTTTTACGATTGTGATAGTGATTTTCACAATAGTGGTTTTCAAGACAATAAAGAAATTCCAAGTGATCTAACTTCATCTCTTAAAATTGGAATGAATGACAATGGCGGAGGCAATTGGGCCCACTTTAATTATTATCTAATTGAGCTCTCCGATTATCCTCTAATTGGAGACGATCAGGGAAGTTAGTAGCTTGATTTGATGGGAGAATTTGGGGAAGCGGTGTGTAATTTAAATATTGATGAAGCGAGAAAAGAATAAACATGACCAATGATTTAGCTCTTTAATTCCTTCAATAATTTATTTTGGGTATTTTCGATATTAGTCTCCCAAATTTTTCATATTTTGAAATTAGTTCATCAATTTGTTTCAAAAATGATCGTCTAAATATTTAAATGTTTTGAAATTAGCTCTTTCCTAGATCCTTCCAATCTGAAATTAGTCCCCCAAATATATTAAGTGTTCTAAAAATAGTCTCCAAAGGTTTCACCTTTGTGCGAACTAGAGGGACGAGGTGGGTGTTTGGCAATTCGAAAGTGAAATGAAAATGTGTAAGTTACTTTTTATCGCAAATGACTTTCTCATCCATATCAGCAAACATGTGAATACAATGTTTGTTTGAAAAGTGAATTTATTGTTGATAGTGCAATATAAAAATAATGTGACAAAATAGGATTAAATAGTAAGTGCAGTTAAAATCATTTAAAAAAACTGATTATCATTTTCATGTGACTTCAACGCTTTTTAGGGGATGCCAAAATTTCATTAAATCCTATGTGAAAATGTTATTGTATTTCACTTTCATAACAACTTATGTGTAAACAAATACCTAAAATATTAAAAACAAGTCATTTTCTCGCTTTCATCTCGTACTTACATGCAAACAAACACCCTCTAATTTCAAAACGCTTAAAAGATTGGGGGGATAATCTAAAAAAAATGAATATCTTGAGGACCAATTTCAAAACACTTTAAGGTTTAGGGGACTACTCAAAATATGAATATCTAGGGGATTAATTTCAAACATGAAAGATTTGGGGACTCACATCGAAAATTTCTCGGCACGGCCGTTTACAAAGGCACGGGCCGGGTCGGGTTTCGCAAGTAATAAGGGACTTGATGCCGGTCCTCCTTCCTTGTTTATATCAACCTAGGCCCCTGCATTCTGCAAGCTTGGCCCATTACCGGAAAAACCGTCCTTAAATTACCAAACTACCCCCATTAGGTTTTTAGCGTCCTCTCCTCTCAGATTTTTCGAGAACCCGCTTTCACTTCGCTCCGTCGGTAATGTTCTCTCGAATTCATAACCCTAGTTCTCCAGTTTCAGCCCCTTCAATCTAAATAATTTGTTTCTTCCTTCTTCTTCTTCGTCGATTTAGGGTCTGTTCTTCCCTAAATCTTAGGCAATGGAGAGCGACACTAGCAGCGGCGAGGTCGGTTGGTATATACTAGGAGAGAATCAGGAGTCCATTGGCCCTTATGCGATCTCAGAGCTGCAAGGTTTAGCTTTGATCTTTGCCTTCTTTGTTTTTTGCCCCCTTTGGTTCATTTCGTTATATAATTAGTGAGAGAAGAATATTTTACTAGTGAGAAGATGCACACGATTATTGAATTGAATTTTCTGCGATATGAAATTTCTGAGCATTTCCCATTTTCCTGCTTATTTCCTGCTTTTGTTTTGGTTTGATTCCATAAAGTTTGTGTTACGACGGTTAAATTATACACAACCCTGGCATCCATACCTTGAGCAGCACTTTATCACCCACAACTATTTTACTAGCACTTCTCAATTCGTGAGTGATATGGGGTTATCTGCAATTATCCTTCTCTCAAAATTAGAATTTAGGGATGGTAAGTTCTAGTATTATAGTTGGGTGATAAGCGCCAAGTTTCGGGGTTGTTATTTGATCTTTTAGACATAGCTTTTGCTGTTTTTGATTATTACTAATTTTTGTTGTAACGGGAGATGGCTGAAATTTCTCGTGTTCTTGCTTAGCTTACATTTTGTGTTGTTTGAAATATGGGTTCCTTACTTGGAAGGTTAGCTCTAGTCTTCATTATTTTTACTTGTATTCATTAATTGCTTGATACAGGATTGGTTCTGAAGGTGTTAAGATAAGCATTAAACGGAAGGTTTACCCTTTTTTGGTCTTGGGCTTAGGGATGAGTAGAAACACATGGGTCGGGTGGGTCTTGTTTCTTGAATACATTTTCTCCTAATGATTTTTTTTAAATGTTTCCCTCCTCTCTCTTATTTGATGTTTTATATGATGTTTGTGCATTCTGTACCATCTAAAGTAATGACATCTTTGAGCTGTAGTTTTACTTGTGCACCTTGCAACTTTCATTGTATATTTCACAACCCAGTTTATGATTGATTTTGGAGGTTTTAGGTAAGCATTAAGTGGAAAATATGCTTTCATTTTGCTCCTCGCAAGTCTCAGCATTGTGGTGAGGAAAGACTTGTTTCATTCTTGGTTTTCAAGTCGCATGTAGTGTAAATTTAATTGAAATTTCCTCTTTCGTCTTGCTTTCAAATTTGTGTGCTATTCGTGCTATGGTTCAAAGTTACCTCTTTTCCTTGCTTTCTTATTTTTCTGCCTATCCATTTTGCACTGGAAGTTATGGATTCCCCAAGTTAGCTTCCTTCTTGTGATTTTTATCACATCTTTTATCACTTGATGATTGGAATAAGGGGTGGAATGAATTTATGATGTGTAGTGGGGCAAAGGCCTGATTGTTTCAGGATGGTAAAGTAAGCATTAAGCTGGAAATTTACTTCTAATTTTGTGTCATTAGACAGTTAAGAGTTAGTAATAGGAAGAAAAACATGGGTGGTTTGTTGTTCCTAAATTGCTTTCAACATGACATGAAATAGCTGAAAGTTTCCAAATGTTCTCTTTTTGCTAATTTTCTTAGCGTTTCTTGGCATGTCTAGGTGATTATTAATTTTTATTAGTGATTGTTAGGTTGTTTTCAGGGGAAACCATTTCAATAGTCTATTGAGCTATTGAACAATCTAGTGATCTACTTAGCTGTATTTGCTTCAACTGGACAGAACATTTCCTCAATGGGTACATCACAGAGAGCACCCTTTTGTGGGCCAACGGGAGAAGTGAGTGGATGCCTCTATGTTCGATCCCTGAGTTATATTCAGGAATCCAGAGACCTGATAATTCTGCTGTAGGTATGAAGATTATCCCATTGTTTGGTTCTATTTTTAGGATCCCAATCTATAACATACTGTATGTTGCAGAGCTTCCAGACAATGCTGGCGATGACTTTGCAAAATGGGAGAAGGAGGTGAAAGAGGCAGAGGCGGAGGCAGAGGATCTTCAAAATGGCACCAATGGTGAGTTTGGAGATGGAATCAATGAGAGAACAGAGGTACATACTCATGAAAGGCCATCAACTCCACCAGATGGTGAAGAAGAATTCACTGATGATGATGGGACTACTTATAAATGGGATCGCAGTCTTAGAGCATGGGTTCCTCAGGTGTGTTTGTAAATTGTAAAGCTGCTTAAGGTTAATTTTGTAATGTTTGTCTTTAGATTGTTGCAGTACTAAACTATAGTTGATTCATACTTGTTTATATTGATTTCACTTATGCATCTATGTTATTCTTAGATTCCATATCTATGCTTATGGTTGATTCACTTGTGGATCTATGTGATCATATTCTTAGCTGCCATGTCTTATGCATCTATATTGAGTTTCAATTACTTTATACTTGTCTTAGGAAATACATGCACACATACTTTGATAATAGTAAAAAAAAAGTTAGTAGCGTGTGTTATTAATGCCAGACCGTTTCCCAAGTGAGGCCTCATTCTGACTATTTGTTGCAAGTATCTTTGATTATAATTACGATAGAGGTTAAGGTTTGGTATGGAACACATTTAGAATTCTACTTATGAGTGGAGAATTTTAGTTTGCAGATATTAAAGCAGTGGGGAAAGAAAGGAATTAAATAAAACTATCAGGTGCCAGTGTGTTACTTTTTGCTCTTTTTCCTCAGTATCAAGGGTTGACCAAAAATCTGTATGTTGGGCTCTCTCTCTCTCTCTCTCTCTCTCTCTCTCTCTCTCTCTCTCTCTCTCTCTCTCTCTCTCTCTGTTTTTTTTGTTGTTTTTTTTGGGGGTGGGGGCAGGTGCAAAAGTATTAATTCAGAATTCTATATACGTATTATGGTTCTTCTATATTTTCAAGTAGCACGTTTCATATATTCAAGAAAGAGCAATTGAATTTATTAGTAAGTAGGAGATGTTCTTGGAAAAAAATTATTGAGAATGTGAATGTCATATAGGGTCCTGTTAGGAAGAGAGCATGAAGCAATCTACTATAATGGGACAATTGAGATTTTTCCCCCACCAAGGAGGAGCCATATTCTGAAAGTTTATGCTTGGTAGTGTCTTAATATGAAGAAATGAATACTCTCCTACGTAAGATGGCAGTAGTTAATTTATATTATTACTACAATGGGACAATTGAGATTCTCCCTCTACGCAGGAAGAGCCTTGTTCCAAAAGTTTATGCTTGATAATGTATTAAATATGAATAATTGAATACTTTCCTGCTTAAGATGGCTGTAGCTAGTTTATATTCTACTTGGTATCTAGACGATTTACACTAGATAACTAGTAGGAGCTATAAATATTTTGATTCTTTCTTTTTATGGTTGGCAAAATTCTAGTATGGGTGTTCTTGTCCTGTGCACTGGGCCTGACTTGGAAAAACTATTATACTTTCCTGATGCATGTAAATCCAAGCATTTCTAAAGGAGAGATGGAGTATTCAGATCTTAATCTTTCATCTTGTGGGTGCTTATTCTAGGTTTTAATTCTTTATGTTTACTGATGACGATGTTGCTGATTGCTCTTTCGAAGTCCTTTCCACCTTGGGTAAACATAATCTGGAATCAGTTGCTTTACTGTCTTATTTTTTGGCTTCTGGTTTCACTTTAAATTTTGTTGGCACTAGTTCTTTTTTTTTAATTTAGTATTCTTTTCTTTTAAATTTATTTCTCAGGTAGTGTTGACAATTTGATGCTTGCTTACCACAGTTTTATTTGTGTCATTCTGTACATAAATGTTCTGTTGTCTTATTGTTAAGTGTTTTGGTGCTGTTCTGTTTGCTGTTCGTATATTATCTGATATTTGTTCCAATTTTCCTGAAGGACAATTTGTCAATTAAAAAAGACGAATACGGACTGGAGGAGATGACATTTGCACATGATGAAGAGGTATTTACCACATTAAATGTTGCAGAAACAGCTGTAAAGGAAGAAAATTCTCCTGTTACTGAGAAAGCTGAGACAGTGCCAGATGCAAAGCGAAAGCTGCCTGAGAAGTCCACTGAAAAGAAGGTACATTGTGAATCCCTTTTCTTTTCATAGTTCTCTTGATGAAGTTCATATATCTGCTTGTTATAGCTCCTGATATTCCTATTGGTTTGTTTTGCCAGCGAGGGTTCTGTCTTTGATAGTTTCATAATTTATTTGTTGTCTATCAGATGCATTTTTTTGGTGCTTACTTGGATATTGCAAAAGTAAACTGTGATGGATCTGAATTCTAGCATATATTGTGATATCTAGGGAAGTCAAATCTTGTATATATTATGATATTTAGGCAGGCTGCTGAAACTTTCACAAATTGTACCTTGGCAGGAAGCAAATAAACCTCCCGATAGTTGGTTTGACTTGAAGGTCAATACACATGTCTATGTCACTGGTTTGCCTGATGATGTTACTGTTGAAGAAGTAAGTGGGACTTTTAAGCTGCTGCCATCTAGCTCAGCAAATAGATAATGATTCTGGTGCAAGAAATTAGCTACTCTTTTTCTAAATGTTGCTTGGGTTGAAACTAATTTCAAACATTTCTTGCAGATCGTGGAAGTGTTTTCAAAATGCGGCATCATAAAAGAGGTAAAGGAAACATTTTAAATTTATGAGCTTCGCTAGTTCTTCAAAATTGAAAAATCTGCAATCAATATTGAAAAGCTGAATTTGTCTGCAGTTCATATTGTTAGATGTCTATTTTGTTTATGCATACATCTACACATCAGTTTACACCTAGTCTTCATGTTCAAAGATTTGGACTCTTAACAGTTTTATTTTACACGAAATATTCTCCTATTGGCTTGTTGATCTGTTTCAATTAGAGTAAGTTAAGAGATAAAGATTTCA